ACAGAAGAGAAGTGCACACAAACGGTGGACATTGAAGAGAGTCCTCCTGTTGTGGACGAAGACTTAAATCTTAATGATATTGTGGCCAATGATGTGAAAACCGAGATAACACTTGCATGTGATGAAGAATCTAATGAGACAATTAAAAATGGAAACAGTGGTCAGATTAGTGATGAATGTAATGAAGACACGAGAGTTGTGGCCATAGATATCAATGACACACAAAGTGATGATAAAAGTGAGAACTCGTTCAACGTCTGTGATATGGATGTTCTCTATGACAGCGATTGCACACAATCTGATGACAAGAGCGTCAAGAGTGAAGACTTGGGATGTGTTGACGACTTGGAGGACAGCGACTATGGGGTGAAAAGGAGGAGTCAGAGAAGGCGAAAGACACCGAACAGGTCTCAGGTGTCGACTGAAATGCCAAAGAGTGAGCGCCAGAAACGCATCGATGATTTGGTTTTGCATTTAAAAGTCGGCGATCAATACGTTTGCGATCAGATTGGATGTGATTACAAGAGTGGCGTTAAAAGACAAATTTACAGCCATATGTTAGAACACAATCCAAACGGTCGAAGAATTAGATCCAGTTTTAAAGTGAATCGAGAAGACGTGGAGAAGACTAAAACAATAGCGCGTCAGAAACGCATCAATGATTTGGTTTTCCATTTACAAGTTGACGACCAATACGTTTGCGATGTCGAGGAATGCAATTTCAAGACTGGTGTCAAACGAGAGATGTATAGACATAAGATTGATCACAAGGCAGATGACAGGGAAGCCATGAATCCATTTGATGAGCAAAAATTAGAAGAACGCAAACGAATCATACTTTTAATGAAAGACTTTAAAGTAGACGATCAGTACGTTTGCAAAGAGACCGGTTGTGACTTCACGTCGAAAAACNGACAGGGAAGCCATGAATCCATTTGATGAGCAAAAATTAGAAGAACGCAAACGAATCATACTTTTAATGAAAGACTTTAAAGTAGACGATCAGTACGTTTGCAAAGAGACCGGTTGTGACTTCACGTCGAAAAACGAAATGCAATTTTATTATCACCAAAGAAGACACCAACGCCTGCCCGCGAGTCGAGGCCCGCGCGGCAATCACGCCGATTGGTTGACCCGTATTAAGGGCACGGGTGTGGACGCAGAGGGCAACTATGTGTGCAGTCGACCCAACTGTGTCTTCGCCGCCAAAGAGAAGGAAGAGTTTTTTGATCACTTTAAGCAACATATGGACGCTTTGATCGTCGAAAACGGTCAACAGTGTAATAGTGGTCGACTTTATCCATGCGATTATCCCAAGTGTCCGAAGACAGTGTCCACTGTTATTGACTTTTACCAACACGAGAGATATATTCACCCGAAACAACGGGTGCCCTGCGATTGGCCCGGATGTGAAGGACTGTTCAAAAACTATAAATATGTGAACAAACAATAATCGAAAGACAATTACCATTTGAGACAAAGACATAACTTATATGAAACAAGATTTAATATTTTTGCTAAATATATATATGTATATTATGAAACTTCTATATATTAATATACGTTATCTACAAATATCTACTAAAATAGAGATGAATTTTTTAATACAAATTACTTTTTCTGTTTTATATTTTTTGCGATTGTTTTATACAACAATATTTAATATTAATCGGTTATCTATTTAACTAATCAAACAAATTATTACTACATTTAAGACATTGTTTTTGGTGTTTTATCGCTTCAATGTTGAAGCTCTAGACTCAATGCAAAAGTAAAATTTATTAATTACTTTAATTAACTAATTAATTGTTTATATATATTAAGGCAAAAACAATCGCAAAAATGTTCCGGTGATTATCACTGTTGAAATTGATTACATTTTAAAATCATAATTATCTATATATTTAAGAAATTTTATCTTTAAAGAACGTAACATACAATTCACTACAACTTGTAATATCTATTATGTCTTTCCTCCCAAATCTATGTGCCTTTTAATGAACAACATTTTGGTTTACATTTATGTAAAGCTACTAATTATTAGTTTTGTTTCATATTTTGATTTTATTTCGAAATATTTATTGTTTGTATGTCTTTGGGAGACATTGTTTTCTCTCAATTATGGAGATATATATTTTGTTACCAACACTGCGGATGAAAATATACGTTAATTTCATTTCCATTTATTATTTTCGGGTATTTTTCATATTTAATTTTATAAATTATATGTATATTGAATGATACATGAAATTGATTTTTTGTTTGTTTTATATTTAAGTATTTTTAAATGAGATATTCTGTATCTCCAAATCAAATGTACTTCCGTTTCATTACAATTAATTATTACTATTATTATTATTATTATACAGTAGTCGTGAAACCAATTAATTAATTTTTCTAATTGAATGGATAGCGCGGATCTGTTTTGGATCCGTTGATCTAACCATTATTACTATCGCTTATATTATTAATTATATTACAATTAATATTTTTAAATTAATTATTGCTAATTATTATGATTATTGATTATATGAGTTTTAATTGTTGGTGGGTTTCGAACCGTTCATATATATTATCTGTTGAAGCGATCATTCAATTTGTATATTTAAATGACAAAACGCTACCATTATTTCAATTAATAAAAAATCAAATTATTATTACAACTCTTTCCATATTATTGTCATTTTTGCGATTCAATCATTTCCTCTACAAATGACTTATTTAGTCACTAAACACTATTGCAAATAAGGGTGGAAGCAATCATACATATACTGTATTATTCGCCGAGATTTGCCGGACATACAACATGGGGTCAACTATTGATAATATGTGCTAGAAATGGACAAAATAGCTATATCAATTTATTATAAAAAGTAATCATGTAAAAGTAGCTATATCTAGGAAAATCTAATATTTTTATTTAAAAATAAGTTCATAGATTAACATTGCCCATAGGTAAGCATTAGCTTCTGGTTTTTAAGCAATGTAATATTATGTAATGAATTACCGTACTAACGTTAATAATACAAGAATAAAACATTGCAAAAACTTGTTGGTATATTATTACATCCCTAATTGCAAAGGACATCACTTTCAAAAAAAATGTTTACATTATATTTCAAAATTTTTTATTACTCAATAAATTAATATTTTATTGAAAAATGTTTAGTAATCAGGTATTTATTGGTAGTGAACGCGATATATATTACATAATAATTGGGTGACATTTATATTACAATTAGTGTTTATTTGTTGCCCAAAAGCATATTTCGGAAATCAGTGTTACTTAAGGCAGAACTGCCGGAACTGTTGGCCGCCGGCGACTCGTTATTTCCGTTCTGTGTTTGTCGTTGTCTGCGGATCGCCATCGGAATCATCGGCGCATTGATTCTGGTCTTTGAATACCTCGACTCGTTTGGACTGAAAAGACAAATATGTTATACAAGTGTTTGTAACACTTTTGTGGCAAATATTACGGCTAAACAAACATAAGTGTTAACAAGTGATTGGGTTTGTAGGGAAAGTGTTATTCACAGCCATGTGTTAGAATATCTCAAACTATACTTACTTTCCATTGAAGTTTTGAGTCGACAAATCTCTGTCATCGCGAGTATTGGATCTATTATTAGGATTACTTATGGCGACGATTATGTTCTTATCGGCCACAAGCAGTCCATCGGCTTCTTTAACGGCGAGCAAAGCGGACGACTCGTCGTTGTATTCAATATAAGCGCATCCCTTTGAGTGGCCGTTCCTATAGGTGACCAAACGGACGTCTTTCAGTGACCCGTATTTGGAAAACACTTGATTCAGAGTTTCGACCGTCACTTCTGGCGATATATTCTTCACAAATATCTTATGCTTTTCTATGGAAGTACTGAAACTAAATTTGGATCGTTTGCCCATTTCTGTGATAAAGACTGGTCTCCCCTCTAATGGCATTCTGTCGTGTTTGAGGGCCTCTCTCACCGATTCGATGGACGCGTATTCAACATAAGCGTAACCCTTAGACAACCCCTTATAGTTGCGAACTAACCGCAAGTCATCGATTTGGCCAAACTTTCCCAACGCTTCCTTCAATTGATCTTCGTTTGTATTAAAGTTCAAATTACTGATGAATACTGTCTGCAAGTCTTTAGAGCCGTCGCCTCTATAGGAGACCCCATGTTTGGGCTCATCCCTAGGCGTCTCTTCTCTTGTATTCACGTTTCTATCCCTTTCTTCTCGAGGTTTAGTTTGTTTGCAATCCTTTTCACTACTCGTCTCCACTCTTGACTTCTTCATTGGCGACACAGAGGTTGACGTTTGCGGCACTTTAAAGCCATCGGAATCCACATCTAAAGTCGAGGTCTTCTGAGTTGTGTCCGCATCCGATTGTTCGGCTGTCCGTTTGGCCGCTTTTTTCTGCTCGTATTTCTCATACTTTTTGTTAGTTTTTTGTCGTTTCTTCTCTTCGGCCTCTCTTTCGGCACTTTTGATGCGCTTTTCGCTCACTTTCTTCATCACAGTTTCGTATTTGTGCATCACTTCGTCGAACGAATCTATGGAAACGCCTTCTTCGCGCTCAAACTCGAGAAGTATTTGTCCGATACTTTCGGGCCAATCAGAGGATGTCGTCAATCCTCTTAACAGTACTTTCCTGTAGTGTTTGTCGTCTCCAAAAAGTCTCTCTAAACGTGAGAACGAAAGCCAATTCTGCGCTTGAGATGCGATATCGGATCGAGTGGTCATCAATTGATTCCACAGTTCCCGCGCTTTCTCTACATTAGAGCAATATTTGGCCTCAATTTTAGCCCAGTATTGAAGGACCGAACAGTTGGGGTCCGCGCTCTCGATGTTAGACAAGTGTTCGACCGCTTTCTCGAAAGTGTTTCTCAAACTTTTCACTTCCTTCTCGTCTTTCCAATTGGTTTTACGTCTCAAACAATCCAAATATGTTAACCAAATCTGCAAATATTCGTTTGGGTCC